ATCATTCTCCCTGGGCCTCTCGAGGGAGCCTGATGCCCTGCATGACAACAGATGGAGCCCAGAGCCTGGAGGCTGTGCGTCCACACACACACACACACACACATTTGGAAACATACGCACTCACGCACGCACTCACACACGCACTCACACACATTTGTATACAAACACCCTCACACACACAGACGCGCGCTCAGACCTCCAGCGTGTGAGGTTAAACATCATTGCGAACATCAGTGCCACATGTGCACAGTCCGGGCAGCCCATGATCACTTGGGTATACACACATAAAAGGCTCCAAAACACTACATTTATAACAGAAGAGTGCAGTCACTCACTCACTGCTTCTATTCAGGGCATTACACATATTTCACACAAAATCATCTGACAATCCTTTCTGGGTTAAAACAGGAGGATGGGAACTCAAAGACGTTCACACTATGAATGAGTTTTAATAGATAATATAGCAGGTATAAAAAACAAGACTGTAATGTTACACCTCCGTCTAATGAAGCCATGCTACACAATCAACGCTGTAACATTTAAGGGGTTAAACACACATCATGGAAATTACACAATGTTTTGACTTTAGAGCATATTATCTGCAAAATGAGATTTTTTTTGTAAGTTTCCTCAAAGCACTGGCTTTGGGGTCAGTGGGCCATAGAGTTTGTGTTATTTTTCCTCTCTCTGGTTTATTGATCGACCAGGCACAAACTGAATTACACTTATTCAACTATGACCAATATCAAGGTAAATGCAGCAAAAGCAACATAAATATACGTTCACATTCACCAGTGCTCCTACAATGAAATGACTGTGCGGTATCACTCCAATATTCATAATGGAAATGTATTCACCAGAATTTTGACAAACCAGTTTAAAGCTGCACTAACTGATTTTGAGACATTTTCAAACGCAGCGCTGGCCTCGCTCTCTACTCGCCCTCCCCGCACCCACAGAGCTTTCGCGCCCCACTAAACCCCTCCCCCCCCCAGCCTGTGCACTGTGCTGTTAGCTTCGGAGCTAGCGTCTCACAATATGGAACAATATGGCACTTTTGCACGAGGATGGCATGACCATAGAATGACAAAACCAGGAATCGCGGAGAGGACGAGACTTTCTTTTGGATGGATGTTTCGCTGTGTAAGGAAACTGGTAACAAAGACACAGGAAGTTTCAGGTTAGCCTCCGCCGCTTGTTTACCTGAGCTGTCTGTGCTAACCAGAGACCTGTGGCTTTTCTCAAGAAAGCGGGGGCCAGTGGCCCGCTGTGATTGGTCACAATCGGGACCCGAAACACATTCTCTTCCTTGTTTCACCAAAACTCTATCTAAAATAAACTGTCACGCCAGCACAAACCTGCGCTACTTATTCTTCAAAAGGACGTATATCTCAATGCACTGCATGGATATGGATTGCATTTTCATAATGAATACGAAAATAAAGTCAGTTAGTGCAGCTTTAAGATGTTTAATGAACACAAATTAATGAATTCCAGGAAGATAAAAGAGGCAGTTGTAATAGAGCAGACAAGACAAATATTTTCAACAGGAAATTGTTACCAAGAATAAAACCCCTCCATGGCCCTGAGCTAAAGTACATATAGTGCCACGTGAACCTAAAAAGGCCTCTAGTCTGACAATATTAAATCCAGGCTGAAAACTGTATTTGTGAAATTTACTTATTTGAAAACATTTTTTTTTTTTTTTATGTTTTGTATTTTTGTATGCCATTAATGTACCTTGCATTTAGATCTTAATGTTTTAATAGTTTTGTGAAATTATGTAGCATACGTGCAAATACACATTGATTGGTTGACTTTGAACTTTGATGGTAAAAAACTAAAAGAAAATAAACAAACAACTGAATTATCATGCTTCTGAAAAAGATTTAAACCTGTTCATAAAATGTTATCGACTTCTTCTTCAATTCTGCACCAATACTGGAGCATAATTTCCATTCAGTATCAAAATATAATCAACAGCAGAGAACTGATGTATTCTTAGGTTTCTTTATGCCAGTGTTCCATGTGCTCAGTGTTTTGGTCATCTGGGTCCAGCTTTAGCCCTGTCCGTGAATGCAGTTAATATTGGTGTAAAGGTCAGTGAAGGTAAGTAAATGTCAGAGCTAATCTAAGATGATGGAACAAACAGGACGCTGCAACTCAAAGAGAATTTCTAATGTGTTGATTGGATGTGAAAGAGGAGGAAGGGGCAGACAAATTAAATATATGAAGGCGCACGGCTCATATTAGCAGGTTTGAGGCGTGGAAATGAGAGGCTAAGTCCACTACTGTCACATGGATAATTGATTCTACCAGGACAAGTGTACAGCGCAGCCAATTAAAACAGGAAATGCAGCAGCGACGGGGACTTGGTTGTGTGGACTGAATTATTCCACAGAGGTTTTGACTCCTCTGAGGCTGAAGTAAAGTAGAGAACGAACAATGGGCCAATAAACAAAAATTCAGTCTACAATAATTGCTGGTGGAAGTTAGCAGTTAGTAATACAACATGCCCTCAACTCCAATATTCAGCTCGTTAGACCATTAGGCTTGTGAAATCAAACATTAAAAAAACATCTGAATCAGTTGTTTTGTGGGAATAAAAGTGCTGAAATAAATGAATGAAGGTTATTTATAAGGAACTATTAACTCTCATATTGAATCAAAGCGATCCCTTGTTTATTAAAAATAACCCACAATGTGTTAAAACAAGAAAGTAGCAGCTATATATGTGGTAATGTGTGGTTAAACCCCCTCACCACACACTTATTACACCTTTCTAAACACCTGAACTCATGACTGCTGAAGTGCGATTCCTGAGGTATCAACCCTAACCTGTTTTTCGGAGGGCTGAGTGTAAAGCCATGCGTAAAATAACACTGCAAAGGAGACCGCGCTGAAGGGCAGGAGAAGGACTGAGGGCTCCAAGCAACTGATCACATTAATGAACACAGGCCACAAAAGTTTACTTCTGACTTTGAATAACTGTCACTTTCATGTTATACTAGCGGTTATCTGATGTTGTAATCTGAGGTGTATACTGTAACTGTTGTTATAGTATACACATGGAACATGAGATGCACGTGGAAAATTGCACACCAATAAATCTGCAAAAGAGTGAGGCCGAGAAAAGTGAGCCATGTTATAGCGAGGGACCACTCAAATAAATAATATTTTATGGATTGTGGATTATTATGCGATCTCTGTGCAAAGAACTGAGCAATTATATAGTTGGCACTTATCAATATGCTTGAGCCATTATTAATTAAAAAATATTGATTACTGTGCTCATAACTGCAAGGCAAGACATGGGTCAGTGTGCAGGACATTCTAAAGTTTAAACATGTTCCCATATTTCTGCTAATCTATATGCACTTATTATTGTGATTCACTTTTGATGAGGTTTAAAGAAACAAATTACCTTGAAACCCAAAGATACGTTCTGACTGACACATTAGATTATCACGGCAGACACCCTTTGATCTCACATATTTCACTGAGCTTTTTCTCTGAAGCTAAATGTTAGATGGCCATTGGATTCTAAATTAACTTCTAACAGCTCAGTAAAAAATACAATTGAAAAAGGTGTCCAAAAGTTGGCACAATAATAAATCAAGTAGTAGAACAAAGTTAAAGTGACACTTTTGTTCTCTGAGTTTCTCTGTATGACTCTTCAAAGCAGTCTCGACTCAGACACTTCAGCTCCTCTCTGCTCAAACTCAGTTCCAGCTCCTTGAGTGTACATCTCAACTCTCCATGATACTGTAGTTCCTAGTTCATATGGTGCACGACAATCATAGCTTACTCAGCAGAAAGTGCATAAATCACAATTATAGCTCACTCAGCAACAGTGTGATACGTTAGCGATCACATATCGGCAAAGCTCAGCTCCAGCTGAAGTTTAAATAAAATGGTTTTCATCAAAATGTGACAAAGTGCAAAACAAATGCTGCTTTCTAAACAGAATCCCTCATTTAATACATGATTGCTATTGGTCAATATTTAATGATGGAAAAAACATGGTCTTTTTGTTGAGTTTTCCACTGCATTGAATTGAACATATCACCATGGAGACCAGCAGGTCAAGTTAGAGTGGAGAGACAAGGGTTACGTGTGAACATCTGTGAAGAGCTGCAACTATTCATGATTTGATCATTGATTTCTTTCTATGCATTATATTACAGATTATTTGGATGAATTAATGATTGTTTAATTCTGACCCTGACAGGTTTTTAACAGTATTGTTTATGTGGAAATACAGCACATAGTCTAGAGGAACACAGACCTGTCCGTAAATATTCTGCTTTTTTTAAATGCCCATGAGTAGAGCTTTCAAAGAACAACAAAGAATTCTGTATTGCACACGTATGTTCCTCTACTGCCACTGGAAATATTCTTCCAATTTATCCATCCATCCATCCATTTTCTACCCTATAATCCATTTCTGGGTCAGGGGGGTGGCAATCAGAGATGCCACCCAAGTCTCATAGCACCAGCCCCTCACTGACCCTCTGCAGGTGGTGAGTCCACAGGAGGACGGCTGCTCTCTGAGTGTGAGCATAGCCTTGATCTTTCAGTGGGGGCTTTGGGCAAAGTGGGGTTAAGTGTCTTGCCCAAGGACACAACGACAGCAGGGAGTCGGTGGAGAAGGTGTAGAGGTGGGAATTGAACCCACAACCTTCAGGCCTGAAGGCCAATGCTCTACCAACTGAGCTACTGTCGCTCCTTCCAATTTAAACTTGCAAAATATTTCAGCTATTTTTCTGAGACATGTTTTGAAAAGATAAAATTTTCTGAAAACAATGTTCTTTTTCTGCCTGTCCATAGATGGATGGGAGAGTCCACCCTTAAGTGATGAGAGAGGCAGAAGTTTCCACTTTTCTAAACATCAGTGAGCACAAAAATAAAACATACACTATTCTCTCAGCACCACATACAAAAGTTTCAAATATTGCAAAACAAACGCGTCCAGAAAAGAACAGGGTTAAAAGTCTTACCGAGCTTGGGCAGGGAGTACTGGACCTGGAAGTAATCTTGGTAGAATCCCAGTAGCCTCTTGGTGATGTGGAGAGCATAGTCCCCCGCTCCACTGGAGATGGCATCAGGCCGAGCGTACAGGCGGATCTGCAGGCAGACACATTCACAGCATTTTCAACAAGAAAAGATGTGATGATGGGGCAGATAAACTAAGCAAGAAGAAGTATACAGCGCAACAGCAATGAATACATGTATAAGTAGAGAAAGGTGCATTTATATTTGCTGTCGAAAGCAGAAAGTGAAAAGATCTTAGTGTCAAAAGAGTAGAGACATGGACAGTTGCGTGGATATTTGTGATAATTAGGAAATAACCAAGTTTAATTTATCCTTTATCTCTCCTTATATGATATAAGTTAATAATAACAATAACGCATTGGATTAATTACCAGCAGTCTCCCATCACTATACAAACCAAGACCTGGCCAGCTTAGTTTCAGAGACCTGCTTAGCTTCAGAAGTATTTCTGATGTTATATATATCCTGGAGGAAGGTATAAATATGAAAAAAAATCTAAAATATAACTTTCTTAATTGCATTTATTAGCATTTTAAAGCTACATTTTCGGACAACTTGGCTAATTAATCATGAGAGTAAAGGAAGTTCAATGCTTCAGAGAGGATACAGAATAATTTGAAAGAAATATAAAGACAAAAGTGAAGGCAAAGCGAGAGAGAACAAGGCCAGAAAAGGGCAGGTCAAGTCTTCTGAGATTATAAAAGAAGACATGAGAGTTGAGATTGTGTTTCAGTGGAACAGATCAAACAATGAACTCTTGGCCGAAGATTTCATAGTTGCCGTATTACAGTGGAGCGCATACAGGTGCACTCCACCAGCACCAGTCATGCATTTCAAACCAAAGAGATCGACCTTGGGAGATGAAGCCATTTGTTGCACAATAACAGTAGCTTACCTCATTGTTTATTTCAAAAAACAGATTGTTGAACATTGTTGAATTTCAGCATCAAAATTAGGAACATTTGACCTCAATGTCTTGTGTGTGAGTTTCACTATTATATTAATAAAAGGTTTATCTGGTAATTATTTCCAATAATCAATTAACCAGCCCTACTCTGTTCTACTGCACCTGGTTGTCACATCCTAGCAAACTGCCCACAAAAAAACAATATTCAGGGAAGTGCTTTGTAACCATCGCAATTAGAACACTTTAGTACCAGTTTGGCCTGGTTAGAACCAGAGCCATGCAGGTTCTGAAAAGGCACCTGCTACCAGTTAAACAGGGTTGGTGGAAATGAGTAGAGCCAAGTAGGGCTGGTGGAAACAGGGCTAAAGTAAGAGCAAACAAAATATAAATAAATACAGTAAATGTAGAAAGTTAATAATGTCTTCTTCATGTTAACTTTTTGTTAATTAAACAAAACACACTGCATATGTTTTGTGTTTTTGTTGTTGTTGCTCTTTGCTCTTGTCTGCCATGGCTCGAAATGAAGTATTAATTCATTAATTCACAGTACTGCTTATTTAATGAGCGCACGGACCATGAACAGAGAGGCCTATACCTTGGCTCACACATGGGACTCACTTATCCAGGGACCTGAGCACGGAGGGGGACACGCTCACTCTGAAGGATCCGTCGTATCTGATCGCATCCATTAACAACAGCTTATAAGAGACACATCACACCAATGTTTCGGCGGAATTCTACCACGAGAACATGTCAGGCAATAAAGGAGTACGAGCTTCTTTACGCTCTTTGTCTTATTAGAAGGACATAGCCTTACATTAGCCTTACATATAGATAAGTAGCTGTAAATGCTACCCAACGGATATGGGAAGTTGCTTGATTAAATACATATTTTACAGTGATTAGAAGTGTGTTTGAGTCATAAAACCTCTTCACTGCATCTAGTTGTATATGTACGTTCTATCGTAAAAATAAAACTGTCAATAGTAGACTAGTGGTGATTTTTTTGTACAGCTTTACTTGTCTGTGCGAGTTTGAAATATTATTTCATTGACCATTGCAGTCAGAAGCGGGCAAAAAAATGTGTCGAGAACCATATTTTGTTGGAGGTGACTGGGTCAGAGAAAATTGCGGCTCAGGGAGAGTGTTAAAGGTCTGCGGTGGTCAGTCTGCTCGGATACATTTTACATAACCTCACAAAGAGAAAAACTAAACTATTGAGCAGGAATTGAATGTGAAAAACCAGCCACAAGACTAAATAACTGAATCACCTGGACATCATAATAAGTGGGGCAAACAAAAGGGCAAGTGTGGAAAGAGTGATGTTTTGCCACTCATCTAAAATGTTTGAGATAACAAAATATACTACTGATGACAGACATCTCTACCGAACATACCAAAGAGCCTATCATTAACACTGTGGTCAAGGGCAGCTGAAAAATCGTTCATGGTAACTATGGTAACTGTCAAAAGTCAGACTTCAGCTTTAAGTTCAATCGCACATGAAACAAAAACTGTAATAAAGTTCCACATCATCTTTGTCAGTACATATCAACTATGGACTAATTGATGTTGGTCTTGACACAAAAATAAGTGTTTGTGAATCTAAATACCATCAATAAATGCTCTGGGAAAACATCCTTTCAAAAAAGACTTCTTGTTTCTGACTAAAATACAGTTCTACAACAATGCATCCCTTAAAAATAAATACAACATAAAATATATGCAGAATGTTTTGTCTTTTTTGTTGAAGAACTAAAATGATGAAATGCAAATAAAACCTGAAAAATCATAAACAGCTCAGTTCCACCTCGAGCTGCGTGTCAGTGTCCGCAGATGTGTGACTTCAGTAGATAGCTATGCATCAGAGCTTTTAGGGATCAATAATTGTGGCTGGGAACATGGGGCTGGCCTGCACTGACCTCTGTACTGTGCCCTTATTGATGAGGGGCCGGACCCCCCAGCCCCAGCTTGACAGCGGGCCTCTGAACACATGGACCTTACTACGAGGGAGATGACGTGCTCAGCTATGTGGGCTTCATATTACAGCATTATGTTTATGTTCAATAAAGGCTGTATATTGACTTTTTGTACTTTACAGTAGTACAGCAGTAATTATTCACATCATCCCCTTTCACAGACACATTCATAATGCATTGTACCAATTGTTTCCTCTCACTCCACACAGTGATTGGAGCAGTGTTAAAAAACAGTCAACTTTTTGTGACGTGGTCCAATTTCTGCTTCTTGTAATACATTTTTTTTTGCTTCCCTTGAAATGTCACTCATTTTAGTTTAAAACATGTACCTGTACAACATTTCTGAGGAGACTGGCCTCTCCACAGAACTTTCTGTGTGGAGTTTGCATGTCTGTGAATGTCCTGGTGCTCCAGTTTCTCCTACCACAAAAAAATATTTGCAATAATGAGTGCACAATTTGTCTGGAGATGCGTTCCAAAGCGCTGTACTACGTCAACCACTGCTCCTGACTTAAGCCTCAGCGGCATCAGGATGGCTCAAATGCAGAGGATGAATTGCCCTACGCGACTGTGGGACAATGCATGGAAATTAACCCACGGCTGTATTTACAGCACTACTGTTCTTTAATACACACTGTCCAGTATTGTCTGGGTCTGTTTTCCAGTATTGTCTCGGAAAACACATTTAAGCATAGGGTTGGGCAATATGGCTGAAAACAATATAAGTGATTCATATCGTTTGATATCGATAATAATTGATTGTTTTTTCTTGTTTAAAAAAAAACAAAATAAATAAATGTGTTGTGTCGGCTAACACACGTTAGCAGCCCTTGTTTACAGTCACGAGGAAATGAGAACTCAGGCTGGAGGCATATGTTCACAAGCACAGTGTCCCATATAGTTAGTCCTGGTTTAGCTCCTGTTTTGGCTGTTTTCGAGTGTCTTGTGTCCCGTGACGGCTCAGTGCGGCTCTCTGATAGATGCACGTACTTCCCGAGGAAAAGTTAATCTCTTGCTTTTGCCGCATCCATCGAGTCTCTGTGTCCACTGCCTCTACCGCGGCACATGATATTCCTTGCACAGACGTGCATAACCATTGACACAGCATTGAAACACCATCTATAGATCCATGATCCATTTTTTTGCATTTCAGAGAATGCCTTGCGGTTCATGCTCTGCCGTGATAGGTCGAGAAGCCTCTCTCAGTTTTACTTCCTGTATTTTCTCCCTGTTTTTTCCAACGGAGTGAAGTTAAACTATCGAACGTTCTATCGACCCCATGTTCTCTTGATATCGAACACGGGTCTATTGCGCTATATATTGTCATTGTTTTATCGCCCAGCCCTATTTAAGAATAATTTTTTTAATTTAATTGGACCAATGTGTTTTTATTTTTTAACTCTTGCTCTTCAATCAAAAAATCTGAATCATTCGTGTGTCTTCGCACCTTTGTGTAACAATGCCAACTCTTTGACACTTCTATCAGTATCACATATAGTATACTTCAGAGATTTTCTGTCTAAACTAACACCTGAGCTTGAGGAGAGTAAAAGCTCTGCACAGACAATTTGCTCTCATAGATTAACTATTCAGATTTCATGAGCTCACAAATATTTCATCGTCACTTAAAATAGCTGTTGGCATGGATCATTGCAGCACTAATCCGCAGATAGTAAGAGGAATAATATTAAGCATCTGACATTCAGTATAACATCATAGATCTAAGTAACCAGGTAAATGCACTGCTTCTGGCTATCTCCTGTGATTTTGCACTTCTGTCAAAACTGATCCACTTCACTGACTCCCAACTGATTCATTAAAGAGAAGTGATGCTTTCAGGGCCTGCTGAAAGATGGACAAAAAGTCAGCTGTCTAAAAATGACACTTTCACAGATAAAAAGCAATTTGGTAAGTTCAAAAGAGAAAATGAGCTGCCACTGCAGGCTGATTCAATACTCTTCCAGCAATCGATGTCACTACAGTGCATGTTAAAGAGTTCTTGGAACTTACTGTTTGGCACCTTTGCAGTGGAAGAAATTCTTGCAGAAAGGAAATGTGTTCTGTATAATAGCACATGTAACAGCAAAGAGATTCACATTTGAAAATTACAGGTACTTAGGGAGATGTTTGAACAAAAGGAAATTGTGGTGTGAATGATATTACTTCACTGATGTCATGTCTGTTGT